GACGGGCTGCTCTGAGTGAATACTGCTGATCTACTGGGATTTTCCCACACAGTCATCTCTAGGGTTTACAGAGAGTGATCAGAAAAACAAAAATTATCCAGGGAATTAGCTGAGTGGAAATGCCTTCTTCATAGGGGATATTGTGTTGGCTCACTTTGGGCCCCTTAGTTCCAAATGAGCATCATTTAAACACACATCAGCCTACACGAGTATTGCTGCTGTCCATGTCTATACTTTTACAACAACAGTGTATACATTTTCTAATTGCTGCTTCCTGCATGTCCCAAAGCTCCAATGACCTCAGTCTGGTTTCTTGAGCGTGACACAGAAACAGTCACCAGATCACAGAATAATACAGCACCTTTCAGGTGTTGTGGATCAGGAGATTTGGATCATGGATGTGCAGCTGATAAATCGACAGTAACTGTGTGATGCAATCACGTTAATAAGGAACAAAATCTCTGAGGACTGTTTCCAGCACCTTATTGAAACTGTGAAACAATTACTTAATGCAGCTCTGAAAGAAAAGGGTGGTCAAACCCAGTACTAGCAAGGTGTGCCTACTGAAATGGCATGTGAATTTATACATGAAATATACTTCATTTCCCAGACTGCTCTTTGTATATTAATGGCAGGTTGCACATTTGCCGTTCTTTGTCACAGACTGTTGTTCAAAGACAAAGTGAAAGAATCAAAAATCGTTGTCATACTGCTTGTAGAGGATGATATGCAGAAGCATTTGATTTGCTTTCACCCATCATTTATACGATACATCCTTTGGAACGCTACTTATGGCTGTAGAAACAGCATACAAACTTTTGGGCTGGCATGAAGCAGGGAATCGAACCAACAGGAAGACGAGCAGTCCGACCATCTCAAATCCAAGCAAACAGATTTCTGAACAGAAATTTAGCAAATATATCGTCATCCCAGCAGCAACATATGAGCAGCTTAACTATTTTTAGTCATTACCATTTTTGCTGCCATATCTACAATCTGCTTCTCTGATGTTTCTCATACCATTTATGGTAAGTTGGAGGTTAAAAAATTGATTTGACCACCTGAATTATATGTAAGGTTTTGGACCTAATTTAAACTTTTTGCCAGGAGGGCATTAATCTATCCCCTTCTCTCAAACTGTCTATAGTATTTTGTTTTTTGTACACTAATTAAAGACTAAAGGCAGGTCCAGTTTTTTTTTCTTTCATTACTGATCCTTCTTTATACTTTTCATATATCAGCACTTCTCCATTCTACAGCTGGTCAGTCGGAAGTGAGTCAACCTGTGGGCATGAAGGAATCCCCCTCAAACCAGTCCCCAGTGCTGCACGAGAAATACGCGCTAAAAGCAAAAAGTCTTCTCCTCGTAGGAGGCATGTAGGACTACTGCACGTTGTATCCAGTCCAAAATAGTTGAACACTCCGAGTTACTCTTATGACTGTAAACGTGGCATCCCCTTATAGTGCTCAGAGCCCAGGCTGCCTCCGCCTGTGAACGTGCTCCTTCCCACACGCAGTTTGTCAGTGAGGTGTAGGCGGGTGTCGATACACTTATACGAAAGATATGCAGCTCTGCAGCAAATGTGACGTATGCAACAGTTGGCACCGTCTTTTTGTCACAAGATGCATTATAGCTGTTGCCCACAATCACTAAATCTGCTGTTGGCAAATTGCATCAGCCAGCTCAGTGTCATGCCAAACTGGTGGGCAACTAATTTTCCCCATGGGAGCCACACTGAGGGACTGGGACTGTTGTGGAAGACTGCAGCAATAAACTTGTTTCTGCTCATTATTCACTTTATCTCTTTATAAACTCTTTATAAGCTTTGCAGCTCCCCGGTCAGCTCGAATGACTGAGATCAGGTGCTCATTAACATTTTGAAAGTGGAGCAAAGTTGGTGATGCTGGGTGGATACACAGCTGTTTGGTGCTGAAGTGGGGCCCTCAGTATTTGTCTTTCATTCTGACTAATCCTCTGAGTGTGATTTCTCTCCATTTAACTGCTGTGTTTAAATCCTTGCCCAGCAATGAGACCTCCAATTGTCTTTTTGTCATCTCTTCCTCTGTCCTCTGCCTGACTGCCAATGCCCACTGGACTTGTTCCCCACTCAAATCAAGCTGTGCATATAATTACTTTGCATGTTTAAAAGAGCAGCTAAGTAGAGAGTTAGACTGTGTGTATTTAACCTGGCTTTTTTATAATTACATTCAAGAAACCGGCTGTTCTTTTTGTGGCTGCTCATCTCATTCACTGCTCCTGGAGACTGGACCAGGAATCACACACACACAGACGAGGAGAGTCTGATTGTTTGGAAAGATTTATGTTCAGGGGTGGATACTAGAAGATGTTTTCATTTCTAAAAAAAAAAAAAACAGTCAGTAAACATAATTGTTATGTTAGGAGCATTTTTCTTGCTTTTCTTATAACCCCTGACTGGCTCTTATTTGTCATTTTGGACACTGATGTGTCAAGGAAATGTGTGCAGATTTATAATCCTAAAAATATATATAGATTTTTAAGATTTCTAGTCTTTAATTTAGTAATATTTCACGCCTAACCGTCAAACATTGTAATGTTCTACCATAAGCAAGGCTAACAGCCCTAAAATGGAAAGATTTACTGCACCAGAAGCCTGTAGACCAGGGGTGGGGAACTCCAGGCTTCAAGGGTCGGTGTCCTGCAGGTTTTGGATGTGTCCTTGACAACACAGCTGATTTAAATGGCTAAATTACCTCCTCAACATGTCTTTAAGTTCTCCAGAGGTCTGGTAATGAACTAATCATTTGATTCAGGCGTGTTGACATGGATGGATGACTAAAACCTGCAGGACACCGGCCCTCGAGGCCCGGAGTTCTCCACCCCTGCTGTAGACCAATCCCAACATCATTAAATCAATCACAGACAAGAACAAACAGCATTGTACTCCTTTGTATTTTAAGCAATTTATAATTTAAGCAATAATTTTAGTCACTAATATAGCTTGGAGTCTACCTAATCAAGCATCTTTACTTCTGCGAGTGTTTGGAGCTCAAGATTAAGCTGTTACAAGCTCTAAAAAAAAAAAATGTATTCATACCCAGTATTTCACACTGTGTCAGAACAACAGTACTTTCTTACTTTTTTGTTCATGGACTACAGCAATCTGTATTTAAAAGTATCACAGCCCGGAAGTGTTTTTATTACACTTTTATTGCACCAGCAGTTCTCCCAGCGGCGCTGAAGCGAGTCCGACCTTCAGCTTAAAACCTTAAATATAAAAGATGGGCCAGACTCGATGTGCGCCCACACTGTCAGATCACAGGAGTCACCGTGTGCTGGTGCACTATTGCTTCTTTGTGACTTCTAAGTAAATGCACTCATTAGAAAAGTGGAGAAAAAGGTGCCTCGGTGTCCTTGGATCTGCTGCCATCTGTGAACAAATTCCCTCCCACATACTGTTTGACAGTAATGTGTAGGTGGGTGTTGTTTTCTGCTGTAAACCCATGAGAATTTCTCTAAATGCGACATGCCGCTGGCTCCTATTCAGTATGCGCCGCCTTACCCACCACAGCATACGTGTGCCAAACAATAGTGTCATTTAGAAAATCTTCACTGTATTTTAATTATCTTTTAAAGCAACAGATGAGTTTGCCTTGTTATCAAGCAATCTACATCATATTCTTATTTTAAAACTATCCTGTGGCATAAAAACACTTAAAGATACGACATCTGCACACTGGATTTATTCTGAGGGGCAAAAAGTTGCACTACAAGTAAAATTCCCATTATAAAATAATTATAGTACAACACAGTCTGACTGGATAAAACAGTCATGTCTTTAATGATCGTGTTCAGTAATCACTCACAGCTCAGGCTGGAAAAACTAAGTGAAGTCTTGAATTTAGTAGTTCAAAGAAACTTCTCTAGCCACAGCATCATTTCCTGGAGATGCTGATAAGAAGTGCACAATGAGTATTTGGGGGATTTCTTGATTGTCCAGCCTTGCTCAGCTCACACCACAGCATCTCAAGGTGGTTATAGACCAAAATTGTTGTTTCTTTTTCTTTAAACCATCTGTTCATTTATTTGTACACCCCAGGTCAATGTCATGTTGGATAACCCAGTCTGTGGCATAGCGCCCTGACATTCGCCCCCTAATATTTCTTGATTTAATTTTAGCTCCCTCAGTGCTAAGCCAATGGTGCTTTGCTGTTTGTATACAGCAAACATAATCCTCCTAGAAGTCATATCCAAAATAATAATGAAAACACTTGACTCCAAGTTTAATTTGGAACACATAGGACTCTATTATTAGTTTAGTAAGACTGACTTGGTCCATAATTACAACTCAGAAGGAGATCCTGTCAGCCCTGAAAAGTTTTCAACCGTTTTTCTGGGAACTGCATTCTTTATCTTGGCAAGAGAGCCGATCATAAACAGACCGACCACGTGGAGAGTTCTGAATGAGCAGATCAGTCTATGTTAGCTTATTTGTAGTACACATTTAGTTACATGGTATTTGCACCATTGTGGTGCACTAAGAGCCTTGTAAATTCTTACTTGTATAGCTGTGATTGTGGGCAGTTTGCTAGGCAAATATCGCCCTCTGCAGGTTCAACAGGAAACACTCAGGTGTAACTTTTTTTGTAGTAGCTAACAATTACTAACTATAAACAGGCCATTCAGGTAATACAATCATTTATTTTTCTATAAATCTGTGAAAAATTTAAAGCACACAATAGCAAGATGACACCCAACTGTGGCAGCAATATTTTAGCAAATAAATGAGAATCTAATACATTAATATCCAATCAGCTTTCTACTAATACAATCATCTCCTCTCACACAAAAAAGTGCAGATTAATTTTCTTAATGCCACTATGGCCTAATCTCAGTTTCAAAGGGATAGCCTCAGTTCCCTCAAGCATTCATGTTTGTTGGTGTATTAGTGGGAGGAATAGGTGTGTGTGTGTAACATTCATGTTTGATTAAAGTTTAAAACTGAGATTTGCAGTGTTTTCATCGTTTGTAATACTGTGGTTGACGACTAACATGTCAATAAATCGGGAGGCAACAGGCACAGCCCGTCCATGAACGATACTAGATTCTGCTAGTCGATGACAAAGAGTTAGTAAAATTCTAGATGTCAGTCGTAACCACAGGAGTGACTCCGTGAACGAGCAATGTCGGTCCAAGGTTTCGACTCAACAGGTCCACCTGATGCAGGTAGGCACGGTAACGGCTTCTATCAGCTGGGGGGTGTGGCAAATACAAGAAACGCACAGCTGGCTGAGGGACACCATGACGGCAAATCATATCATTGACGGCACAGATGTACTCATCTGTAAGTTGAGAGGCATTATTGGGATATGTCTGGTTACAGTCTTCTCTCTCATCTTCCTCATTCTGTTCAGCCCTTTCTCTTTGCCTCTGCCAGTGTAGCGCCACCACCTCATCCCAAGCCACCATCTGCACCTGAGCTGAGATCCTTAGATCCCTAAGCATACCCTGGAGCTTTGCTTCCTCCTTTTCTTGCAGACTGTAGCCAGCCTCCATGCACAAGAAGAGTCGGAGTCTCGCCTGGTTCCAGGCACGGGAATCGTGAAGCACACAAGCCAGCTGGAGAAGAAACAATGAGCAGATGCCAACATAACTATGGCTGTCTGGCTGAAGAAGATTCATAGGCCACACATCAATGAATGGCCCGGCCACACCTCTGATCTTTCTTCCTGACCCTAAGACTCTGTCCCGGTTGAACTGGTCGAAACACCGAGCCAGAGTCACATTCTTTCCCATTTTTACAGCATCAGCAATCACAGAGACGTATTCCTCTTCCTGGAGGTCTTTGGGGTCCTCAGCACCCCGCAGACTGGGAAAGAAGGGAGAGCGTTGCTCTCCAGGGACTTTGGTTGGACAGACCGTATCAAAGCTATGGCCTGTAGACAGGAGAATATGACCTTGGAGGTGGTCATGAGGAGTGCAGTCATCATAGAAACCCAAGACAAGGGTGTTGGGCCTCATTCCACCTAGAATCAAAGACTTGTATCAACTGTGCTTTGAATAAGAAAAATATGAATGATAAAATGATGTATTATATTGGAAATGCTGCCATAACTACTGCTCAGTGACAGACAGGACCTAATCCTACAACAGTAAAGGTAAAGCCACCTACCAAAGCCTGAGATGAAAAGCAAATTCTGAACGCCGTGTCGGACGGAGTCAGCCAGGGTCAGGTTGACAAACGCTTTGATTTTCAAATGATCCACTAAACAGAGCCAGGAGTCATATCGACTCTGCAAAGGATCAGAGGGCAGCTCATCTGCACACACACAGAGGCACACACAATATAACAAGAATCAGACTTTCATAGGGAAAACAAGCAAACTTCTGTTTTAACACTTTTCCGTCTCACTGTGAAATCTCGTTAACGTTAGGATTCATTAAAACTGATTTACACACAGAAATAACAGCTCTTTTCATCAAAGACTATCAACTGAGGTACAAATATCGCCCTCTAAGACCTAAAGTACTCAATAATCCACTAGATCGGGCTCCAGCGTACACATTTCTTACCCAGCAAGCCCAGCTTTATGTGTCCAAGCACATAGAGGCCACTCTTCTTCA